GGGGGGGGGTTTCTGTATAGTTTGTCTTGGGTTAGACTGGCAGGCAACCACAACCACAACATGTACAGGACACCATGAAGATTTAGTGGGTATACATTAGAACGACCCTGGAAAAAAGATGTGAGCAACTGGGCTGTGAGCAGTGAGCACTTGAACTGGGGCAGGAAGGAAGAATTGATTTTGTGATCCACAATCCACATAGCGCAGGAGTTTGGGAGACATGATTCAGGGAGGACTGGGGGTGTGTTTGAACGAGATTTGCAACGAACAAAGTGTGTACCGAGTACGTAGAATGGAAACTAGACAGTCGACCTTTTGGAGCTTTTGCGAACTCGTATTCCTACAACACCCTCGTACGAGGATGGATGATTCTTCCCAACTTGACCTTGACCTTGACCTTGACTTGTTTGTCCAGGCGCTCAGGAGATGGATGGATGGTCTTTCCTTCTCCATTCTCTCTCTCTCTCTCTCTCTATCTTCTCCTCCATCTCTCTGCGAGTGACCTTTTCTTGTCGAGGTTGCCTACCCTCCCTCCCTCTCTCCCTCCAAGCTGGATTCGATCAACCAATCACCCTCAACCCAACCCAACCGACCGACCGACCGACCGACCCATCGATAGACTGACTGATAGACCGATCGATAGACTGACTGATAGACCGATCGATAGACTGTCTGACCGATGACGGTGGGTACGTACTTACGAGGTACTAGTAGTGAAATAGTCCAACCCAGTTCCAGACGCGAGGCACGAGGCGTATTATTATCTGATAATATGACCCAATACCCAATCTGGCAATATTTTGTAATACTCGTAACTTACAGCTCAACGCAGGCTGCGCAGGTTATTACAAGAGAATTTTCCGCCGCTCTTAGAAGGCTTCGTTCCCTCCATGCCAAGATCGCTCCCCTTTCATCCTGTGCTCGTCTCTGGTGACCGACCTGCCTTCTCGTGCGCCATGCAACTACATATTATCACTGGGGCCCCAGAATCAGTCCCCCTTCGGGAAGCAGTAAGGCATATTATTTCGTCCAACTCCTCGAAAATGATGGATGGCTTTTTACTGCCCAACCCTGACTATGGCGCCTCGAGGTCCTGGGAGGGACGGCCCTTTCTGGATTTCCTCACTGTCCCCGGAGAGGAGGCTAACCGACCTTCATAAAGTCGACTCGAACAGCGTCCCCTTTCTCCCATATCATCTCCTGCATTCTAGTGGCTCTTTCCCCCCCCCCCCCCCCCCCTCTTTATGTCTAGACTGGACATTGAGAGTCCTATTGTTTTGATTTCCCCGAGTAATTCGACCCCATGTCGCCAGTCCTCGGGCCAAATGGCCAACATTGACCACCAAAATGTCAAGTTCCACGGCGCGCTCGCGTTTAGACCATGTCCGTTCACGATGTGCAGGCCGGCTATACCGTACTGGGGTCGGAAAGAATCATTGGTTGTTCAAGTGCAAGTTCTTCAACCCCTCGGTTTGGCAGGAAAACTTGTCCCCCCGGGGACCCCGGGGGGGGTTGGGGGGGGGGGGGGGGGGGGGTTGTTGGCGCGCGCCTCCTGCTGGAAAATTCACTGCCTTTGACGCAGGCCGTCGGTCGCCAATTTCGGGTTGTCGCGCAATGGTGTCCGAAATGCTCGTGTCAGCGATGAGGGTAAGTCAAGGACGCGGTTGGGTCTGATAGATACGGTCGAGGAAGCATTGTCGGATTGTGAGAGAATAGCGTTGGCGTTGCTGAAGTTGAGAAACTGGGTATTGAACGGCCCCAGGTGCATGTTGAGATGAATCCCATGCCGTTGCGGGCTTCGGAAATGTCATTGCTTGTGTCAGTCTCCTTACGCGTACCGCTTTAGCCTCGGGGAAGGGATCTCACCTGTACGGGTTCGAGAGCCAGCCCACTGTCTTCGATCGCATGAACACATCAAAGCCGCCTTGCACTGGAGCATCGTAGGATAAGGTATTGATCTGTTTCCCCTCTGGCAGAAGCAGTGCCACCACCATCATCAGCACGGACACGAACAGGCGAATAGGATTCAAAGTCCCGCGAACTTGCCTGTAGATCGAGACAAAAAGGGGTTCCCTCCATTTTGTTCGCCCTGTTTACTGCGAGTCTGTGGGCAAAGGTATGTAGGGGGTGTCACCTTGACCTGGTGGTCCCATCCGTTGTGGTCGACTTGTTTCTTTGGGAAGATGGTAACCACCCATGCAGTTCGGCAGGGTCTTGACCCCTTGAGACTTTCTGGAGTAGTTGTGCTGTCCAGGGCCTGGTTCCCCATCAATTGGTCCGGGACACCGACCACGTGTTCGCGCATCTCATGGCCTTGTCTGCCTCGTGTCGACGAGACGATATGCAGCTAACCAAAATGCGCCATTGACCCAGTGGGACACGGTGCTGATAATCAGCAAGATAATTAATTATTGGCGAATTTATCTCGAGGTCGCCCTGGATTCGCCCTGGTGCACGGGCGAGGCTGAACCAACGGCCACAGACTGTGTAAAACGAGAGACGCGATTCGGATGACGCTACACTGTCAGCCTACTTGTAGATGAACAGGCACATTCGCACTCGCCAATGAATTCGAGACACGTCGTGGGACAAAAGATCCCTTGATGCCGACATGGATGAGTGAGGAGTGAAGAGCGGATTGCTCGTTGTGCCTCCGCTCATCCCAGGGTCATTTTTCTGTACATTGACCAATTGCCCAATTGCCCAGTGTCTTTGTATAACGCCCCATTAATAGGTTATTTGTCTCTTCAATGCGTGTCCAGAAAGTCGCCATGCTGCCATACGACACCTCGCAATCGACGTACGTCGACAAAGGTATAAGACTCGGTGCATCCGTGGCCTGGAAGAGTTTCTGCTGTCCTACACTCTTCCTCAAGACCATTAATCCAAATCACCAACTCCACGAAGATCCCATCATCTACGACACTCTGGCACCAATCTGTACCATCGCCAGGTTGAGTGACATACTCCTCTTTGTGGTGGAAGGCTAACCTTCTGTTAGAACTCCTCGGGCATTGCTCATCTGCAACAATGTCAGATTCCAAGCACAAATCTGTCGCGTCTACAGCACCATCTGTCTCATCGTCAACATACTCTGGTAATAGCACTTCGGTTGGAATTGCCACTGGACAGACTGTAACAAAAATTGAGAAGGAGAGAATGTTGTCTTCGGCTGAGAGGGCCAAAGCAAAGAAGGCCAAAAAATAAAGCAGATACTGAAAGACGCCGACTGGATGAAGAAGCGAAGCAAAAGTGAGACGAAATCGGAGCGTTTCATTCCGAACCAACGAACCGAGTTAGATATTGTGTCCTCAAATCTTCCAGATAGTTTTTGTGGTCCGTAATCTTAGCATCGATAAATCCGGATGCATTCAGAGTCCAATATGGAGCCAAAATTCGATGGAACTGGATACAATCGACTCCCGCTGAGTGTGTTGGCGCGAGTTGAGGCTGTAGGTGCTCCAAGAACAGGTTGTATGTCACGCGGGGATGGTTCAAGCTAGCCCAAAACCAGTGTGTCGCTTTTTCGAGGGCATCTTTCATGATTTTGGTGTAAAATCTAGGTTTAAGCGGCGAGTACTGGTCGTCGTCTTCTTGTCCGAAAATATCCAGAAAATCTTCACACATTGTGTCATAATGTTTCCTTTTCTCCCCTCCAAGTCCGTCAACTGGATACCCACTCAGCCAAAAGGGTGGGGAGAGTGTTTCAATCGGCAAGACGGGTATCCATTCAAGGTCGAAAAGACAGGTGATGTCGTATCTTTGATTAACTAATATGTTACTTGGATGGCAATCCGTCCAAATATGACAGAAAGGTCCTGACTGGAGATGATCCATGGTAAAATTGGGCGATAGAGCTCGCATTATAGTAAGGACCGCCATCTGACTCTCCGCTTCGGACTCATCGGGAATAGCATTGGGCTGATATCTCAGTTTCATGTCGTGACATTTTAGAATGTCGCGGATATACGAATCGGTAGAGACATAAGTTCGGTCGCGCGGAATACTCATAGGAATGCCGCTGCTCTCTAGTAATGAAAGCTGAATCGTTAATGGTCGATTGCTGAGACTTATATTCCCATAGTTATCGACCGTGAAAGAACCAATTTTCGTAAAATGATGTCGTGCTAAGTCAAGCATAATTCTTGCCAGACTTCTATAAAAGTTCTGTCTCTGCTCGTGAGTCTCGGGCGGCCACATCTCCGACAGTATGGTCCCCTGCTCCTTTTCGACGAAATCCACAAGGAGATAACCAGACTTTAATGGAAATGAAGTTCTGCAAGGGGCAAAGAGTGCGTTGAATGGCCATCGCCAGGCCCAGCAGCGTTTCAAAGCTTCGATAACTCGTCTGATCCAGGAAAGATGTGTGACCGGCGTAAACTAGAACTAAGTAAGCTTTGATCTCAGCACGTCATATGAGCCATACACTGGACCCATTTGGAAGTCCAAAACCCCAAAGACGGGGGATCGGAACTCGAGGACAGTTTTGTGAAGTCCAAATATATGTCGCAGCTTCACACCGGATCTTCTCATCCAACCCATCTGGCCCGCCCTGCATGTAGGGAAATGGGCACCTCAACATAAGCCGCTGTTCTCGCCAATTGGAAATATTGACTGGAATGCAGGCATTGAAACTGCCATATCGCCATTCAGACATGTCTGAAATCTCACACTGTTGGGACCGGCTCAACGATAGGTGGTGAGCAATGAGGCGGCGGATGTTGGGTATTTGACATTGGAGGTCGTCGAAGAAGGCTTGCCTCGAAGGTTCCCATTGCAATTTGACCAGCATATTATCATTTTCCTCTTCGATCTCTTCCCACTCTTTCGCGCTACTGTCCGCAGGAAGAGTAGGAGCGGAATCATGTTCAAGTACAGGTAGAGGAGCCATAGCTGATCGCACAGCAACTCGACGTGAAGGGTTTGGCTGAAGCACAGCTTGCGGGGAGTGCTGGACCGAAGGACGGCTGCTGAGCCAGAAATAACTTTGAATGAGACGGGAGAACAGCGCAGTACGAAAAGATTTGTTGCTGCAGACACGTGAAAGAAAGCTCTAGGAATATATCTGCGTGTGAAAATGAAAAACGCAGTAGATACCCCGACGCAATTGTAAACTTCAAGTTTGTTGCATTTCTATTCAGGAAGGTGTAACGAGAGACTTAGCATTTTCAGGGTGAACATCCTGGTCGGTCCAGCGACATCTACCCCGTACACGGACATTGGAGGTAGTTCATCCAATTGGAAATCAGACGGTGGCCCATGAAAGTGGGTAAAGGAAAGTGGACGACAGCCAGGTGCAGGCAAGAGGCAGCCTATTTCAGAAGGCACCAGGGCGGCCAGAAAAGCGACTCGGAAGGATGCTAGTCGAAGTTATTTTAGCGTGCACTTCAGCGGCTTAATTACTTGTACAGTATGTCCCACTCTACTCCACTCGAAGGAAAAGGACGTGTACCCCGTACACCGTACCTCGTGCCGAGAGAGCGAGTACCAGTATGGTAGGTAAGAGGTCTCCTATTAATTGCGAGTCCTACCACTCTACCGAGTACTCGGTGCTTGGAGATATTTTCTTTCCTGCAGGTCCTGTACGGAGTACGTCGTACGGAGAACTCGTGCTCGGTATTCGAACAGGACCGAGGACCGAATATGCTTCTCAGTGGTCAATGCTATGCACATGTCAAAGGGCGCTACCGTGCCGCCCACGTCATATCAACACCTCGGAATTCTTTCACTAGGTACTTGGATACCGCAGTGCACTACACTGCACCTCTTCCTCTCTTTACATCTACTCGGAACACATCTCCCTCACTGGGAAAGGGTTCCGATGATATTATCATAGCTCGTCTACGAGCTGCCTCGTACTTCTAACTTCCCAACAGCAAACAATGACATGAGTTCTTGCAGGGTATAGTGTGTCACTTGTCGAACAGGAAACAGCCTAGGGAACAAAACTTCCCTCTTTCATGCGATCCAGAACCAGATCCTCTCCACAATGTTTCTCGGCTTCCGCTCGGGCCACACTATGGCGTCCAACGCAGCTTTACCAGTGTAAAGATCGGCTTCGGCCGCATTGCGGAAGTGTGTGCCCTTGAAGATCCTCCAGAAAAGGTAGAGTCCAAAATAGATGGGCACTCCGATGTAATCGGTGATGAAGGCCTGGTAGTCCCACGTTCCTGCAATCGAGTCGAACCCATTGAAAAAAATGATCAGCCCAAAGAAGATGGCCGAGATGTAGCCGAGGTATGGTTGCCACGGAGACTTGAACGGCAACTGGTTGCGGTCGATGCCCTGCGCGTGGCACGCATGGTAAAAGCGAATGTACGCAATGCAGATGCTGACCCAGGTGAAGAGCGTGGAGATTGTGGTCAAGTTCTGGAACCAGGTGAAGACGGTATTCGACCCGGAAGAGCAAGACATGTACGTCAGGAGAGAGATGGACCAGGTGATCAGCACACACCACACAGGGACACCAGTCTTGGTACACTTGAGCAGGAATCGGGGTGCCTGGCGGATTTGCGCAATCCCATACAGGTATCGGGAGCCCGTGTACAAGAAAGCGTTGGCCGACGACGAGGCAGATGTCAAGATGACAGCGTTGATGATGGAGGGAAGAGCGTCGATTCCGGCCCGATTGATGGCAATAACCCATGGAGACTGAGCAGCACCAGGCGCGCCATTTTCACGAGCGTTCAAGAGATTGGGATCGTTGTACGGGACCAATACGCCGATCGCCAATGAGCCCAAGACGTAGAAGAACAAGATACGCCAGAATACTCGGCGGACAGCCTTGGGGATATTTCGGCGCGGATCCTCAGCCTCGCCAGCCGCGACGGCCACCATTTCGACGCCACCATATGAAAAAGCGGCGTTGACGAGAGTGGACCATAGACCCAGAAAACGACCTGTGCTACCGGAGGCGATGTACGCTTTCATAGCCCCAGGGTTATTCCAGTACTGGAACCCGAGACGTTGCTGCCCCGGAACTCCACCAACATCAATGATGAGGGCGAGGATGAGCAGGCCAATGATGGTGATGATCTTGATGGAAGCGAAAATGAACTCGGCTTCACCGTAAATGGCGACGGCGAAAATGTTGAGCGCTAGAACCAGCACTATGACGATGGAGATCCAGGCTGCCACGTTGACGTCTCGAGCGCCGGGCCAGAACTGGATGACGCTCGATGCTGCTGAGATTTCGGCACAAAGTGTGATGGCGCAAGAATACCAATTGTTCCAGCCAACAGCAAACCCCATGGCATCATCGACATAACGAGCGCAGAATTGTGGAATGGCACCAGGAAGTGGAAGCCACGTGGCCATCTCACCCAGAGACATCATCATGGCGAAGACAGCCAGACCAGTGAAGGTATAGCCCAGGAGGACCGACAGCGGACCGGCTTGGAGGAAAGCACGGCCAATTCCCAAGAACAGACCAGTGCCGATAGTGCCACCAAGAGCAATGAACTGGATGTGACGAGATTTCAGTCCTCGTGAGACATAGCCATATTCCTCGGCGGTGGCGATGTCGCCAAAGACATCGGTGGCTTCGTTGACCTTGGAACCGCGTCGGGCCTATGAAAGAACAAGATGTCAGCGACCTTGGTCCGGCTTTTGCTTTGCCGCCTTCACGGTATAAACTCACCTCAATCTTGTTGATCTCATTGTAGTCAATTGGAAGGTTATCTGGAGAGTCGGAACCAGAGGTGAGATGGAAGTCGGCCGTTTTCTCCATGTTGGGTCTGGTTGAAGCTATTGGAGATGTCGAGTGCTGACTAGTTTACAGGTTAACAGAGCTCGACAATCCTTTTGGATCGAGCAGGGGACGAGCAACTGCGCCAGAGGCCTCGAGATGGGAGGGACACGGAGGCCATGGTAAGTTGGAGAGGTATTTGTAGGACAACAAGTCTGTGTGGACCAGGCTTGGACGGTGATGTCTGGGGCAGTGGCAGATTACCCTGGCTGCATTGAGCCCATCGACAGCCCTGACATGATCGCCAGCGCCGAATGACAACGAGATTCGAACTGTCGAGGTTTCGTGTCTAGGTGCCAGACTGCGACGTTACGACCCACCCGGGTCAGGCGAACTGAAATGGGGGCGGCGAGGACCGTGGCCTGTGCTTGCACACAAGGACAATGGTGCAATAGTGGTCAGCTATGAGGATGAGTACGGGGTACAGTAGCTCGAGAATGTTTGAGTCTCGACCGCAGGTGAATGGAAGAAGAAGGCGACAGAGTCGGACAGGGGACCCTGGGAGGAGAGGGCTCCGGTCAGGGCAAACGGAGGATTGTGGAGGCGTAGGTACTCGTAGGGTGTGATCTGCATTGGAATGGGATACGAACAAGGCCAGGAAGAGGCCAGTGAAGACCAGACGGGCGAGAGGCAACCAGACCAGACCGGGAGCATGAATGAGTGGACAACAGATTGTGAACCAATTGAGCAGGTGTCAACGGATGTGGCGAGTGATAGCGCAGCCAACGACCCCAGACACTCGCAGTCTCCGACTCCACCTGAAGCACAGCTCTCCTATTCATGGCCCTTCCTTTGCAGTTCAAATTGAGCCTTGCAGACAACAACATCTCACGCGACATCATTACTCGTAGCTGACAGTGTCACCACTGGACGCCGCTGTGATATGGCTGGGGATGATCGCTCAACAAGGCGTAGGGAGACATGCGGCAAGGCAGTTTTTTCGGGGGAGTCCAAGCTGTTGGGCTGTTGGACAATGTGAAGGCACCGTGAATGTGAGCGGTGCGGTGAAGGGGGAAGATACTTTGAGGCGTAGAGCCTAAGAATCCTCGCTCACTCTCCGCTTGGTGTAGCGTAATGTGGGGTAGAGTAGCGCTCCCTTCTACTCGTACAGGGGCATCCAGCTGGCAGGTGGCAGGTGGCTGAGAACCCCAAGCACCAACGAGCAGCCTGGAACGATCAAATCAAGGGGACGCCTCGGGGCATCACCAAGAAGAAGCAAGCATGGCAAGCATGACAAGCAATAGGCAAGCAAAGGCCCAAGGGCCCTCCCTGTCTCAGGCCCAACCCTTCTCGGCGCCTAGCTATCTGAGATCGACTGCTGCAATCACTTCTGAACTCACCCCGCGCAGCCAACCACAGCAGAAACCTGGAACAAACCACCAAGTTCCCATTGACGGGCACGAGTTCTCTCGTACGGAGTAGGGTACTCGTTTCAGAGCAAACACACCAAGGCGGGCTGCAGGATTCCCTCGCGCTGGCCAGCATTGCCATGTGACTGACCCTGGATGTCACCATGCTAATTTCAAATTACACAATCTTTCGCCTGTCCAACACCGCCGCGACGAAGGCGATTCACCACTTTTCGGACACTCCAAGCAGATCCTCGCCTAGCAGGGGGACAGGGGGCGGCTCTTGTCGCCCAATCCGGTCCCCGCGTCCGACGTCTTGACCTTGAATTGGTAGTTCACATCGAAGGGCTTCTGGAAGGACACGCCACAGGACACCGACGAGGGGAGTTGCATTGGTTTCATCGACTAGTGGTCACGGGTCACAGGTGCAAGAGGTTTCACGAGGTGGCGCAGACGCGATGGTGTAATATCTCTTACCCTTTGGTATTTCCCAATCGAGGTCTCCTCGTCGTTGACTGCATTCTCTCCATGTACGAGTACTCACTTAACCACAGAGAGCAGCTGGCAAGACAGTGCCAACCAACCATCCTCTTCCCGGCCCGCAGCGCCAAACACTATTACTCGTACATCCTCACCTATTGCCATCCATGCTTCTAGAAGCCTGGTTACTCGTATTCGAAAACTCTCCGGCAGCCTTCGCACTGGGTCGCCACGACCGCTGCGGGCACTTTGATGTTACAGTCCCGATCAGATCGAACGCCGACATGAGTCCTACATGCTCTCGGCCCAGTTCGA